CATAAGAAACAGCGTCCACCTGCTGGAGACGCATCCAGAGCCACTTGCCCCATGCGCTGAGGCTGGCTGCTCTCCACGCTGCTTTCCCCAAGCCCCCACAGCCCCCACAAAGGTGCAGCCTCCGCCGAGCTCCCCCGGCCACACTTACCAGCTTCTTCGGTATGGGGAGGGCCTTATTGGGGTCCTCGGACAGGCCCATCTCGGCCAGGTTCTGCGCCACCGACTTGCTCGGGTCCCAGGCATGGCGGATGTGCGAGCTGCACGGGGACAAGGGACATCACGGCTGTGCTCCCCCTCCCCACCAACACGCGCTGCAGGTTCCCCACGAGGCGCCCGCTCCCGCCCGCCCTCGGCCCGTGCCCTCGGCCCGTGCCCATGCCCCCGGCCCTCACCAGGCGATGCGAGGCGCGGCGCGGCGGCGGGCGCTGCGGTAAAGGCGCTTGCGGTTGAGGTTGTAGGAGTATTTGTGCCGCCGGCTCTTCCCCTTCGCCTTCGGCATGGCGGGCCCCCGTGAATACCCGTGCGGCAGGGCCACCTGGGCTGCCGGTCGCGCCGCGGGGCATCACGGGAAGTGTAGTCCCACGACCGCAGAGCCACGCGGGGTGTGCGCCACAGCGGACTACAGCCCCCGCCATGCACTGCGCCGGGGTGGGGGTACGGCAGCCGGGAGGGGCCGCGGCTGTCACCTTGGCCATGGCGGCCGGGCCGCCACCGCCGCTGGATCGCCCTATGCTGCCCGCGTTCAGGGAGGAGGGATTCGGGGACAAGTTCCTGCGGAAGACCCGCGAGAACCCCCTCGTGCCCCTCGGTGAGAGCGGGACGGGGGGTGACGGTGCTGATGAGGAGCGAGGGCCGGGGCGGTGCGGACCGGTTAGGAGTCGGTCCCTCATGAGCCCCGGCCCGGCCGCCCCCCGGGCGAGCACGACCCGGGTCTGGGAGTGCTGTGGAGCCGGCCCGGGTGTGGGGGTGCTGTGGAGCCGGCCCGGGTGTGGGGGTGCTGTGGAAGCGCGGGGGGAGCTGCTCCTCGCTCACAGCCTCGTCCTTTCCCCAGGCTGCCTGTGCACCGTCGGCGTCCTGACCTACGGCCTGATCTGCTTCAAGAGGGGCAACACCCGCCGGTCACAGCTGATGATGCGGGCGCGTATCCTGGCCCAGGGCTTCACCTTCGCGGCCCTGCTGGGGGGCATGGCGGTCACGGCCCTGAAATCCAGACAGTGACCTCGGGCAGGAGAGGAGCTGCGGCCGGTGGCCAGCACCCACCACCCCGGGATGGATCCTGGCTGTGGATGGAGTTTTCTGAGGAACTGTCGTGATGTCTTGGTGGAGCCACTGCTGGAGAGGCTCTGTAGTCCAGAGCACTGGAAATGGGGTGAATACACTCTGTGATTATCCTGAAATTTGGGCCGTGGCTTTTTTTTTGATTCCTTGAGGGCTTATCCTGCAACACCAACGTTGTGTCACTAAGGCTCATTACCCCTGTGAGAACTCTTGTCCCTGCTTGGTGCTGTCACAGCCTGTTAAAATCATGTCCTCTGGGTCGTGGTCTGCACTGAGGTGTGGCTTTAGTCAGGCAATGCACCAGCATTTGAGAAATGAGCTGCCCAGCTAGGAAGGAACAGCTGTTTATGGCTCGGTCTTGGCAGGACAGAGTCCATAAGCAGCGGGGGAGCAGTCTGGGGAGGATGTGTGACCTGTTCAATTGCAACTGGTGAGCAATAAGGTGAATTGCAGGAAGATTGTGACTGATACTGGATTGCAGAGCATTGAGAAGCCACAACAGTAAGCAGTGTAGGGAAGCTGCCTTGGAGCTGTGGTGATGCAAACAGGACATGAGAGATGAAACTCCCTGTGGAAACAAGTTGGGAACTCATGATTCCAAAACAGGGCCTGGCTGAGTTCTCTGGGATGTGCTGCTGCTTCAGCATTCCCCTCCCCTCACTCCCGTTTTCTCCTGTATGATACGTTGTTCTTCCAGCCCCATCCTTCCTGCAGGAGGCCTCATGGCTGTGGGTTCTCCTGAATGCAGCATGTGTGTCCCTAACACACAGATGACAGTGCCCCATAGGATTGGAGATGTCGGTTTATTGTAACAGATAATTTGGACAGTCACAGAAACCAAAGCCGAGGGGATGTAGAACAGCTGTGGGCACGGCTCCCCGGGAGCTGCCCCGGCCTCACATGGAGCACACGGCAGCTGGGGGACCCAGGGGCCTGGCTGCCTGCGGGGCCTGGAGGAACAGAGCATGGGATGGGGGGCACACTGTCCCCCCCAGAAGCAGCCAGAGGTGCTTCCCACTGCTCTGCAGGGAAAGGCAGAGGCAGGCAGCCAAGTCCCAAGGTGTCCTGCAGCACAGCAGAGGTGCCTACGCATGCTGGAGGGCAGGGGGACCAGGCAGGAGTGATCAGCTCTATGGGCAGAGGGGCACAATCCCAACACACAACACCAAGTGACTCCCTATGCACCCATTTCCCTTCCCAGCCCACTGCTAAGCCTGTGCCCCAGAGCCACAGGTGCCTGACCATCCCCCTGATGGCTGCAGCAGCAGCAGCACAGGTGACATTCCTGTCTCTGGAGCCACAACTTCAGGGCAGGACAGCTCTGCACACTTGATTTCCAGCTGAGCAGGGCTCTGCAGTGAGGCTCAAGTGTTTTGTGGCCTCTGCTCCATGTTCCCCCAGCTGCTGCAAGCCCTTTCCAAGCTCCCAGATGCAGGGCACAAGCTCAAGGCTGTCCCTCTCCTGCTACTCAGGAGTTGTGCAGGTTCCCAGGGCTGGTGCCAGCCCTGCCAAGCAGAGGAGAGAAAGCCAGTGTTCAGGCGGGGAGTGGGACTGAGGCATCTCCCCACGATGCCTTAGGTGGGCAAAGCCAGGGGGCAGAGCAGCTGCAGACAGATGTGCAGGTTGTTCTCAGGGACAGGACAAGCCCCAGCACCAGAACTCTGCCCAACCCTCCATCCTGGGTTAGGAAGCTGGGAGAGCTTGACCTGCCCCACAGCAGCTGGACCTTCCTACCTCCTTCCCTGCAACCACACAGCCTCCATCTCCCCTTCTAGTAGCAGAGGAAGGAGCAGAGCAAAGCCAAGGGCTCCCAAAGCCTGGCATCCCACATTCCCAACTGCTGGTGGTCATGAGAGAGGGACAGAAAACTTCCTGCACACTCACCCCCTGGCCCTTCTCCAGTACCCTGCAGCAGTGTACTGCCAGGACTGCAGGACAGATGGGACACTGACGCTGGAACCCCATCAGCTTTTTGGGGTGCACAACCAGGCTGGACCCCACTGGGATCCCTGCCTCAGGGATAGGACCGAGGCCTGAACACAGGGCTGCCAGGACAGCCACAGGCAGTTTTATTCCCAGCACAGGGGTGAGGTGGGAACACAGAGTGGGATATTCCCTGCTCACTCAGCCAGGCTCCTGCAGACCCTGGGCCAGGGCTTCCTCCTTAACTCAGCTCTGCCACCCAGTGCCGCTTCCCAGGGAAATGCCACAGTGATTTATAAATAAGTGTAAAAAGAGACCGATGCACCTTTTAAGCAAAGGAAAACCATGGGGAGAGTTACAACCAGTGACTCGAGCACAGCCGAGGTGCAGACCAGGGAGCAGGCAGTGGGAGGCCTGTCCTGGGCTGGCCCCTGGAGCCACCCGACTCGGTGATCCCGGCCGTGCCCGCAGTGCTCCCGGCTGTGCCAGGCACAGCTAGCGGGACAGGGGCGTCTGTTTCAGGGAGATGAGCACCGAGCGCATCCGTGAGACATCCTTGCTCTGCTTGCTGCTCTTGGGGTTGAAATCACACAGCTGGGCCACCTTCTCCCACTCAGAGCCCGGGGTCTCCTCCTTGGACTCCTTCAGGAATGCTTCCTCCGATGCCCTGCAGAGACGTTGAGGGTTGTCACTGGCAGAACCCTTTTCAAGGAGGTTCTCCCCTTGTGTCCCTGCTTCCTATCCCCTGCTCCAGACAATGAGCTCAGTGTCCTCTAGGAGCCAGAGACATGCGATGTTCAAGGCTGCTGTTGGCTGCACTCACCCAAGACATCATTCATCCAGGGGTGCTGGGATATCCATGTGCTCCCAAGACTTCTCCATCCCCCAACACCCCCAAAAAGGCTTAAGAGCCCACAGTTTTGCCTCTTCAACCAGCTCCCACAGGGGCATTTTCAGGAGCTCCACTTGCCTCCTAAGACTCTACCATTGAGACGCTCAGCTGCATCGTTCTCCCTCTGGGACCTCATCAGAGCCCAGGACCTCCCAGCACCCCCCTCCCCTTGGCTGGTCAGCCAGTGCTGGGGCAGGGACCCCCAGAGCTTGTGGGGCAGGATACGGTGTGTAAGAGGCACATACACGTAGCCAATGACATCGGCGTCCGGCTGCTGGTAAAAGGCTTTGTCAGCGATCCTACCCCAGGCACAGAGAGAGAGAGAGCGGAGCGGAGCGACAGGCAGGCAGAGGGTTAGAAAGAGAGAACAGAGGGGGTTAGTCCTCCCAAAGAGTGTGACCCACACATCGCAGCACCAGGAGAACCTGGAGCCCAACCCTGCCCCCCTGCGAGACCCATGCACGGGCAGGAGACAGAGATCCCAGGGTGATCCCAGTGTGGTCCCAGCCAGGGTGGCTCTGCATAGCCACTGGAGGCACTCCAAGCCCTGGGGCCTCTCCCCTTACTTGGCAAAGCTCCATCCCTGCAGGGCTGGGCCCCACTGTCGGGAAAAAGGCCCCCAGACTACCCAGGAAGGCAGACCTGGCTGAACAGCAGCTCCCATCATAGTCTAATGGCCATGCTGGCCCCAACATACCTGTTGTTTGCCCGGTTCTTCTCCATCTGCTCATTCTGACGGAGGTTCCACTCCTCCAGGTCCTTCTTGGCCTTCTCACGCCATTCCTGCTCAGTCACCTTCGATGCTGCATCTAAAAACAGAGTGAGACAGAGCCCATCAGCCAGGCTGGCACCCACTGGGTGTGCTGGGCAGCCCCTCAGCAGGCAGGGCAGCTGCAGCCACCCAGACCTGTCCCCACTGTACTGGCCAAAAGGCCCTACTGCTCCAAGGACAGCAGATCTTTGGCAGGGGCACAAGACACCTCTCTGGGATGCAGCAGGTGAGGGACTCAAGGGCCCCAACTGCCACATCATGAGGCGCCACAAGCACGGCCACACACGGCCTTGGGTCCTCACCCAGCTCCTCCAGGCGCTTCTTCTGCTCCTCCCTCCACTTGCGGATGCTCTCGGGTTCCTGGGTCAGCCGGTCAGCCTTGGCTATGGCTGCGTAGGCATCCGTGGGGCCGTTGGACTCCTGCAGGACATGAGCACCTTGCCATCAGCACCAGCTCTTCCCACAGCCCAGCCCAGCCACCTCCAACAGCTGGCAGGGATCAGGACTCCACACTCCCAGCACTGACAAGCCAAGATCGGAGGTAGGAAGGGTGATGGCCTGGGACATCTGGGACAGGGTCCCCAAAGCGCTGCTCAGGCTGCTGTTCCAGCTCCCAGCCTCAAGCCGTGTCACCCAAAAATACTTCCCAGCGTTCCCTGCCTTGCCGCTCACTGCCATCACAGCTGTTGCATCCTCTGGACAGCCCCACAGCACAGGACAGCCACTGACCTTGGGACACACTCCCAGGGATTCCCTGTCTCTCAGCAGGGCCAAGGCAGCCCCAGGACTGAGCTGCTTCCCTCGCTCCTGTGCCAAGCTGCCTGCACAGCCCCACCAGGCCTTGGAGGCGCTGGCTCAGCAGCTCCCATAACACCTTCCTGGCCAGGATGCCCAGTCATGCTGACACCGAGCTCAGCAATGGGATTACGTCTTTCTCCAAGATCCTCAATCTAATTAAGTCTGTCCCATTACTGATGTGATTATCAACCTGTAAGCCAGGCACGGGCTGTGCAGACGCCCCACTGCTGGGCACCAAGTGAGGTGAAGGACTTGTCAGATGCTGGCAAAATCTCCTGTAGCCAGCAGAGCTGGGCTTCGGGCTCCCAGAGGGAGCTGAGACACAGGTGGGCTCCCCCCAACACCTCTGGCCATGGGGCAAGTGGTTTTCATGGGAGATGCTGCCAAGACAGCAAAGCATGTGTTCCATGGCAGCCCTGCCCTGGCTCTGGCCTCTGCCAAGAGATGCTCCTGCCTGCCCCAGACATCTCCAGAAGCATTCCGTGGAGAATGGAGGATTTGTCACCTGCTCTTAGGGCTCAGGCACTCCTTCATGGCACAGGCCACCTGCAAACAGATGTGGGGCAGGTCATGGCAGGTGGGACACATCTTCTCTTCAAAGAGAATGGAGCAGCCAGGACTCCCCCAGGAGACCCAGACCCTTCCAGGAACACCGTAGCTGTTCTGCAGCTGGATAGCAAATTCCAGTCAAAACTGGGGGCAGAGCAGCAGAGTGCTGGCCCCACACCCACCCAATTTCCCTTAGCAGCCCTGGGCCAGCGAAGGGCTGAGCTCTCACCTGAAACACATCTCCGTTGACAGTGGCTCCTCCATTCTGGAAAGCAGCTGGAGAAAAAGGAAGAGAGAAAGAACACAACTATGGCAGGTGCAGGTGATCTCGGTAGGGCTGGCGTTCAGGAAAACTGAAGCAAATCAGTTCCTGAGAATTTGTCTGTGCCATTTCCAGCCCAGCACACCCATCCACAACACTCCAACAGTGCCCTGTCCTTGGTGGGATCCAGCAAGCACCTCCCGCTCTCCCACACAAGCCTCTCCAAGCATTTATGTCTTTATAGTGTTTTCACTGGTGTTTTATCTTATCTGAAGATTAGGGAAACTTCCAGGCATGGACACAGGCTGCTGCTCTGACTGAAGAAACACGTGACCAACTCCCACCTGCAGAGGCTGCTGATGGACACAGAAGCTGCTGGCTGAGTGCTGAGACAACTCTCCAGGGACAGGGCCCATGGAAATACTCCATGTGCTCCCCCAGGAGAGGAGGGCATGGATGCAGGCCAAGGTCCTTGAGAGGCCATCTGGGATGACCTGCAAGGTCAGGGCTGGGAATAAGGCACCACTGACAGCCCCAGATAGCTGCACACTAGCATCAGAATGCCAGCCCCAGGCAGTGGGCTTTGCTGCTGGGAGAGAAGAGGCTTTGAAGGAGTCACACTCCAGGCCCTAAGCTCTCCCCAGTGACGAGCACAGGCCTTCTCCTGGCCAGACAGCTGCAGGCACAGCCACAGTGCAGCTCTGCCCCATGGTGCTCACCCCCATGACTACACCCAGCTCCAGCCTGTCTGACTGCATTTATCACTGTGGCTGTCAACATCTCTCCAGGCCCAGATCTGCCTCCACGGCCCTGTGTGCACAGCAGTAAAACCACTGCTCCACAGCCAGCACGAGGAGACTTTGTGGGGCTGAAATAGGGGAAGAAGTCAGAGCATCCATATGCCCGTGCCGAGAGCAGACCACTGACCCCTGCACACTGGAGGCAAGAGATCAGGATTAGCACATTCTATCTGCAGGGCCTGCAACCACGATGTTCCCAATGGGAATTTCTTCCATTTTACACTCCAAAGGGCTCTCCGTCTGCGGGGACAGTGACAAGGCTGTCGCTGCTCCTCAGTTCCGCCTGGATGCCTCCTACATTGCCATAGCTGGGGGCATTGAGACATGGCCCGGGGAACCCAGCCTGGGCACATGGGAGAAAAATCGCCCCACGGCCAGCACATCCCAGCTCAGGATTCATGCCATATCCCGATGTTCTGAAGCCCTTTGGGCCCAAGCACAGGCGCAGACAGCTCTTACTGCTGCCGGCTGCCAGCCGGGCCCACCCGGACACCCCATCCCCTACCCGTGAGGTGCAGCACGGACCCCATCACCCACCGTGGGGGGTGCTGTGCGTCCCACGGGGAACCTCAGCCCCGCGGGCGCGCGGCCCGGAGGACCCTTCCCCACCCTCGGGGCAGGAGGGGGCACAGCCTCCCGTTACCCCACGGGGGTGGCAGTCCCCCGTGCCCGCCGGGGCCGCAGCCGGGCGGTCCCCGCGGCCGTGCCCGCCCGGGGCTCACCCTGTTCCGGTGGGGCCGTCTGCCCGCCCGGGGCGGCGGCCGCCTCGCCGTCGGTCGGCCCGAAGCCCTCGTCGTTCTCGATACCCGCGATCTCGCTCTCCTGCTGGGCCAGGAAGGCGGCGGCCGGATCCTCCTCAGCGCCGGCGCCCTCGGACGAGGAAAAGAAGCCGAAGTCGTCGGCCATGTCCGGCCCGCCCGCGCCGCTCCCGCTCCGGCTGCGCGGCTTGTCTGGGCTGGGCCCGACTGTGCCCGGGCGGAGCCGCCGCTGTCACTGCAGCGGCGGGCGGGGCGGCCGCGCTGACATCAGCGCCGGGGCGGCCCTGCGGTCGCGTCCCGCCTCCCCGCCACCTGCAGCGAGCACGGCGGGCCGGGGCTGTCCGGCTGCTCCGCCCGGGGCTCGGCGGGGCGCGGTTCTGCCGCGCCGGCTCCGCACACGGGGGCTCGTGGCTGCGGGTGGGAGCGGGGGCCCCTCAAGGGCCCCTCCATCTTGGCGGCCGCCGCCATCTTGGGCGCAGGGCACGGGGAGTGCTGGGCAGGACCCTCCCGCCGGGACCAGAGGTACCGGGCAGGGCCCACCTGGTGTCCGGCAGCCCCCGCGGTGACGGGAACACAACCAGCTCCCGAAGGTCTCCGGCTCATACCCTCCACCCTCTCGGGCTCAGAGCCCTCTCCCACAGCCACTGGCAGACCCTCCCCATCCCCAGCCAGCTCCGGGAACACCCGAGCAGAGCTCGGCACACTCGGAACTCTTCGTGCGCCCGCCGGGAACACCCGAGCACCGCTCGGCACACTTCGGAACTCTTCGGGCGCCCGCCGGGAACACCCGAGCGCGGCTATCCCCGCCGATGGGATTCGGGCGTTTCCGGACGAGCCCTAGAGGCGTTCGGGTGTCTCCGGAACGTGGCCGAGCGGATCCGGCCGATAAACAGCCATTGGCCGCGCGGCGCCGCGCCGGGGCGGAAGTGCGGGCGGGCGGCGTCACTTCCGGAGAGTGACGGAGCGGCGGGTCAGAGGCGGCGGCAAAATGGCGGCGCCTGAGGAGCGGGAGCTGACGGCGGAACAGACCGAGAAGCTGCTGCAGTTCCAGGTGCCGCGTCCGGGGGGGCCCGCGCCGGCCGGCGGGAGCGCAGGAGGCGGTGCATGGGCACGGAACGGGCTGGGCTGGGCGCGCCCCGCCGGCGCTGGGGGGTATGGGGCGCACAGAACAGGGTAGGCCCGTCCTGGAGCCGCCCCGTCGGTGCGGGGGTGTCGGACCGGGCCTGAGGGGAGGTAGAGAGGAGAGACACCTGTGGTCCCGGTGCTGGCGGGAGCGAGTGAGACTCCCGTGCCCCGAGTGCTTCATCGGGAGCGTTCTGTCATCGCCACCCGGGCAGGCGGGAAGTGGCTGCTGAATAAACCCCCCACGGGAAGAACTCCTCGGTAAGTCCCGACCGGTTTTATTAGTATGAAAAATTCCCTTGTCGAAGCGGGAGAGCGTTTTCTGTCACCTCGGGAGGGTTGTCCAGCGCGTTTCTGTGAATGTGGTTACTGAGAACGTCGTTCCTGCCCCTCACGGTTTGGTAACGCCACTGGACACTGTAATGATCTGATCTGTATCTGCTGCACAACACGGGCTGAGTCGCTTAACCTCTGGTGTGCCGAGGCCTCGGGGCCGTGCAGCAGCTGGATGATCATAAAACCAATCTGCAGATGTGGTTTATTGGGGAGAAAACAGCTCTGGGCAGCTGAAATACTTGGGTTTCCTCAGCGAGGAGTAATTAAACGTGCTGAGCAATGAAAACTACCTTCAGGTGTCCTATGTTTGTTTCTGAGCTGTAGGACATCACATGGTGTCTTTGGGATTGCAGGATTCTCTTACAGAGACAGGGTTTACTTTTAGGAGTGTTTTATTTGATTTTGTTGCTTTGTATTTGTTGTTTTTTTTAAGGCTTTGCTTTGGATTTTTGGTGTGATGTAACTGTGGATTTATAGGGCTTAAAGGGCCTCCAGAGGCATCCAGCCCTGCCTTCCCCAGGTGAGATGGTGCAGCTCTTCATCATTCCAGACAGGGACATGCCAGGCCTTTGCCTCTGAGTCAGGGGAATTCACAACCCCCTGAGTTAATTAGTGAATTAATACACTGAGGTGTTTTCCCATGACTGGACCTGTGAGGGAACTTGTTTTACACATATCGCCTCCAAATCATTACTGCAGATTGGGCAGTCAAATTAAATACAGGCCAGGGGAGCGGAGCAGTGTTAACCATTGCTGTCCCAGTGCTGCCTGGTGGGGAGGTGAGGTTTGTGCAGCACTTACAGATACGCAAAAGGTCCCATTCCCAGCTTCCACTCTCTTGCTGTGAGCTATCCCAGTACTTATGAATGCGCTGAGTCTGGACAGATAGGACCAGCTGCTCTCACCAGTGCCCCTGTTGCTATTTTCAAACCCCTGTGGGCAGCTGTGAAACTGAAGAATCCTGTTTCCCAATGCTACCTGGTGTTGCCATGGACTGGGGGGGAGGAGAAGGAGGCAGAAGGAAGGATTCATGCTTTAGTCCAGCTGCCTGTCCAGTCCTGGTTTGAGGTAGAGGGAAATGCTCCTCAGGCTGTAAAGGGGAGACATTTTTCAGTTAGGAGACAGCTGCTGTCCTGAGCCTGATGTGAAAGCTGTGGTCCAGAAGGCTTGGATACCAGGATCCTTGTTCTTCTGTCTCTGGGGGTATGTGGGATCAGCTTTCACCAGGGCTCTGCTATTCACAGACTCTGCTGGTGATTCCTTATTCTCTGATACTTCACACCTGGCTGAAAGGGACTCAGGTGTGTGGTCCTGCTTGTTCCTTTAGAAGGAAATCAGTCCACCTGGAAGAGGGTTTTTTTTCTTGGAGTCTGTTAAAGAGCATTTAGTGTTAGGAGAGGATGGAAAAATCTCACTATAATAATTTGTACATTGCTACAGAACATTGTTGCAGTCAGCTGGGAAACCCTTCAGGGATCCCTGCTGTCTTTTCAGGGAACACTTCACTGTTTTCAAAGATAACTTTACACTTTGTTGTGATGTACCATCATAAGTAATTTATACAATATTCTGTGGTGGCAGAGCATTGTACTTCCATAGAAGGTTATGTGCCACTGCAGTGTGACTAAAGCAGGAGAGCAGACTGGGAAAGAAGGGAGGATAACAGAGATGAGGTAAGGAATAGCAGAAGGCCCTCAGTTAAATGGAGAGTCAGAGGCAAGCATGGAGCAAGAGCTGCCATTCACCCAGCAAACAGCTGTGGGGGTGAAGATGCTGTTGCCCTAAAGTGTTTACCCTACTTCTGCTGGAAATGGCTCCTTCTCAGGCAGAGGTGAGTCCCAGCTGTCCTGTCGTGGCCTGAGCCTTTGGGCACAGTCCTGTGTTAGTGCCTGCTCTGCATTAATTCCGTTGATGTGTGTGATGGGTTCTGTAGTGCTCTGCAAACGGCTTGGCTGGCAGAATGCTGAAACCAGCAGCTTCCTTCTTGTGGGCAGGGCTGGAATAGGGCAGTTGTCTGCACCCTGCTGGGGCAGGTTAGTGAAAAAAAAAAAAAAACAAAACAGTAGGGAGAGAGAACTGGGATAAACGTGAAATGAAAGCAACAAAGCCTCTTGCAGGCTTTCAGTCTCCCATTTGCTGCTGGAGCATTGGATAATAATGTAAAGGAATAAAAGCATCTAAATTTTTCATCTGTCAAGACTTTGCTGTCTTGACATCGGTAGAGAGAAGTTTGATGTGAGCAGTTTAAGAAAGCTGTGGAGATACAGTTCATTTGGGAGATGGAAGAAACAGCGGAGCAGCTTTTGTAGGATCTGATTATTGATCTGTGCCCATTACACTTGGGCTGATGTCTGATGTTATAATATGCTAATGTGAAGTAATGGAGTGTTATTTGCAAAGGAAAGAGTTGGCACTCAAGATACTATCTCTGACTTCAGCTGGCAAAAACAGAATGCTCAGGGCTGGGTATGACTGATTTAGGGGAAAGAGGAAACATGAAACTCCAGCATCTTTTCTGCTCAGTGTATCGATCAAAACCCTCATAGAGGCATTTGCTGTAAAATACAACGAGAAACTCTTGGTTAAGGCTTTTTTTCCAGTTTGAAGTCAGGTGTTCTTTACCCTTGGAAACATAATTCTCTGGAATTTGGCAGTGGGTTGGGAAGTAAGAGCAGTGCCAGTTAGTCCTGTGGATTTGCATCTCGTGCTGTGTTTCAACATCAGAGTGTATCTGCAGAGGCAACAGTTTCGTAAGTCCAGTTTACAACCTTTGTCCACTCCAGGCTATTCCTTCTGCTTCTGGAGCATGGAATTGTACTTTCCACTACTTGAGTATTGAGAAGATTCTGGGCAGTCTCAAAGGTGAGAGATGGAAATGGTTCTCTCCAGCAGCTGCTTCACTCTGCTTTGAGTGGTATTTGAGAAGGCACTATTGAACTGTCCTGGCATTCGTGGAACTTAATATTTTGTTTTCTAGATATTAGTCACTATCTTGAGCTTGGATCTACAGTTATTTGAAGGTTTGAGGGTGCTGGTTTAACAGGACTCGTTTTAAGTACTGGAGACTTTATCTTTTTATTACTTACTGTCTGTATTATGTATGTGCTCTTTGAGGCAGCTGAGAGACCCCAATGAGGAGGAGACCAGCAGCAAGGTTTGAAGATATTGTTTGTTCTCTTAGCCCTGATGATACTGAGAACATGCTCTTTGACATGTGCATAGCTCAGTTTGCAGCTGAACAAGGTTCACCAGAAACGCTGTTAAGTGGTGCAGTGGAAATGATATGTTTCAAGTTTCTGATCTGTTTCCATAACTGAGGTGAAGCAGCGCCTTGGAAGGTCCTGGGACAGCAGTAGGAATTTCTTTGGGGTGATAATGACCAGTATCAGTGTTTGCCAGCAAGAGTTGTCTGAGCTGACAGTTGAACTGTCCTGCCGCTCCTTACGTGGGGTGCGGGTTGTTCTGAACCATGCTGTGTCCTGTAGAGCCTGTCAGAGTAACAATCAACAGGATGCTAGGTTTTTAAAAGCTGTCTTTGCACAGGCAATTTTTTCCTGCAGTGTTTAATTGTGCAGCTTCATTGATCAGATGAGCAGTGGGAGTGCTCAGGATGCGAGTGCACTGTGTGCTCGGGGTGGTTTTGTCACTTCTGCTTTATGTTGAGAGCAACTGAATTAAGATGCTAAGGAAAAAAAGGGTAAATTCATCTTCCTGGAGAACTCGTGTTCTCAGACTGAGATCTGACCAGCAGCTGCCTGGTGAGGGATGATGGTTGGGAAAGGGTGAGGTTGACTGGTGGTGATGTCTCTGTGGAGCTCAGGAGGTCTTGCAAATGCTGCAGTGATTCAGTGCTGGTTAAATGCTTGTTGATAGTTCTGCTGCTTTCTGACCTAAAACTGCTGAAGTGTTTTGCATAATTTAAAAAGGAGAGATTGCTCAGTCATGTTATTAGTGCTGAGAGATAATCCCTGCGTTTAGAAACAAAGGTGTGAATGAGCTTCTGAATCTTGTAAACTTTGCAACCACCAGCAGAATTTCCAGGGTGTTGAGGAATGGCAATCAGAAGGTTTTTCAAGGCTTTGGAATACACACGTCGTGACTCCATTGTAAAATCAATTAATTGAGTAAATTGCAGGTGCCTAAAAAGGCAATTAAGCGCCTTCTGTAGGAAGGTTAGAAAAATAAATAAAGTCAGAAGAAAAAAAGAATAAAGTCACCATACAAAACCTAAATTTTACTCTGAAGCACATCTTTAAAGCAAGGTAGCTAAACTAAAACACTAAATCCTGAAGCTGAGTTATAATTAAAGGTATTCTGGCAGCAACAGCTGAGTTCACTGAGCTTCATTTCTTCTATGAAATCCAATTCTCTAGTGTTCCCTTGCAAGGCTTGCTACAGACTTACTTTTTAATAAATATTTATACACCAGTGGGCAGTGACTTTGAAGTGCTTTTTTCTGAGCTACTGCAGTCACAGTTAGCAATGCTTTAAACAGTCTGGTTGGTTCTGTGCAGTAGAATGAAACAATGATTTTTGCCCAGGAGATTGGGGAGAAGGTGGTGCTCTGTGGAGACTTAGTGACAAAGAAGCCAAGAAATGCTCAAAAGTTTGAACTGAGCCAGAGATTGAATAAGGCATTTGTTCACTGTGTTACTTGGGTGGAAATAGCATGCGAATGGGGGCAGGGAAGGGAGTAGATATGCAATCCTTCTCCAGTAAAAAAGCCAATTCTGTGCATTTTTAAATGGTCAGCCTGTCAGCAGTGCCTCAGGGGCTTCTAAAAGAAGCAAGGAAAATGTCTGTTCAGACACGTTACAGCAAGTGCTGTGGGGAGAGATGTGTTTCTGTGGCACAGTGACAGGGATGTTCACGTCAGCAAAGGTTTGTCTCCATTCAGGAGGTGTTGATGTGGCTTCCTGTAACAACAGACACAATTATTTGATCTCTCGTGAAGAAATTCCAATTGATACAGAGTTAAAATTGCCCAGTGGCTTCGAAGTTTGCCAGGTATTTGGACTGTGTTTTCTGTTTCGGGGCCTGTCTGTGTTGGACTGGGTTTGGATTTTTTACTGCAGATTCCCCTGTGATGCTGGAAACACCGCCTTCACTGGTGCTTGGCTCATTTTGATTTTAGTCTCTGTTTATACTGGCAGTGAGTGAAGTCATGGTTATCTTGGGTTTTCAGAAATGCTTTGTCTGTATTTTGAGTTTGAGGTGGTTTGAGGGCATTGGCCCAGCACATCCTTCCAGAGAGGAACCTGTGGGCATTATTGTGTTAAACTCTTGGCTGTGCTGAGTGCAGTTGTAGTAACATACCTTGGGCACACTGGGAATTGGCTGATGCTGGAAGAGGGCAAAGGCCTGTTTAAGGCCTCCTGTGTGTTTGCGGATTTGGGTTGGCTCAGGTTGCTCTGCTCTTAAACTCAGAGCAGAGCACTTAAAAAATGAGCATTGTGGTAATGTGTTGTGGTAACTCCCGGCTCTGCTCATGTATTGCAAAGAACAGTAAAAATACGACACTTCCCTGGCACTCAACTGCTTTTACTCTCCTTCCTTAGGACTTGACTGGCATAGAGTCCATGGACCAATGTCGCCACACGCTGGAGCAGCACAACTGGAACATAGAGGTACCACTGAAAATAAGATTTGTAGCAGTTTCCAAGTACCTGAGTTAAATGGAGCCCTCTGTGGGGAGGGGGAGCCCTACCAGTAAGAGGAGTCTGTCCACCCCTGAGTCTACTCAAGTAGCTCTTTAGAGCAGCATCTCCACTTGTCTGGAGAGGTTTCAGCCAAACACTGGCTGCCATGGAGAAGACTTTCCATATGGAAAAGAGCACTGGTGGTTGCTGTTTGTCATGAATTGTGCTTATCCGGTGCTCCGGGGCTCTGGACAAGGAATACCCACTGCTAGTGTCCGAAGTATAGAAAAGATAAAATGTCTGAAACCTCCCTTTGCTCTTTCTCCTGTCAAAGGCAGCTGTGCAAGACCGACTGAATGAGCAAGAGGGTGTCCCAAGTGTCTTTAATCCTCCTCCATCGCGGCCGTTGCAGGTCAATACAGCCGACCACAGGATCTACAGCTACGTTGTCTCAAGGCCACAGCCAAGGGCAAGTTATCTTACAGTGGATTTTGTCCTGCTTCTTGGGTGACTCTTCATGAACAGCAGAACTTGCAAGCAGGGAAAGGAGTTGTTTTCTTTGCATGCTGTTACCTCCTTTCTAAATGTTTTATCTTCTGAAAACAAAATATAGAGCCTCTGTTGCTGCTGCAGAGACTTTCTCTGTGGCAGTTCACACTTGAGTGTGAGGACCTTTTTTTGTGTCATAGACAGTTTGCTGTGGTGTAATAAAGCCTTTTGATCAGTTCAATTGCAACAAGGGACTGTCCCCTCCATCTGGCAGTGATAATGTTTTTCTAATTAGAGCTCCCCTTAAATGTGTATTAATTAGAATACAGCACCAATTACTTGCATTAATGTTTCACAAATGAATTTGCATGAGCACCTGTAAGACTCAGTGCTGTTAATCTTTTTGAATAGTTAAGAAAATCAGCACAGAGCAAAAGCATTAGTCAGTGAGGCCAGTTTTCAGATGTGTCACATTGAATTCTGAGTGAACCACGTTAGTCACATTTGATTTGACATGTCTGAAGCCATGAACTGTTGCTGAGCTGTTTTTTATCATGGTTGGAACACCGATACCTCACATGATGCTTGGTGCTGGTGGGCACTTTGCTGTAGCAGGGCTGTTCCAGGTGTGGAGACTGTTCTAATTCTTTATTTGTCATTGCAGGGCCTGTTAGGATGGGGTTACTACTTCATAATGCTTCCATTCCGATTTACCTATTACACATTACTTGATATATTTAGGTAAGTACTTGCTTGTGCTAACTCACATTGACTGCATGAAGGCACATGGTAGCTCAGATCCAGCTGTACCTCTGTCACTGGGATCTTTAAGTCTCATGGCAGATTTTCCATTTGATTGCTCAACTGGCATTATCTCTAGCCTTCTAAAGTTCCTACGTGGTTTAGTAACAAATAAATCTTATTGCAGAGAAAAAGAGCACCTTGCAGCTCTGTAAATGAAGTATTTAATTGGAATTCTAACTCCATGCAACTTTGCAGTCTGAGTGCCACACAAAGGGATTGCAAAACAGTGTCCAGCTGGCTGATTTTCTTGTACAAACACCAGAATTGTGTCCCGTTGGGCTGGGCTGCAGGTTAACCTGCCCTAATCCATGGATGTTATTTGGCAAAACCTAAACTGTAAACGCCTCTGCCTTTTCCCCTTTGGTGTCTGTCTCCTCTTCTTCATTTACCACCCCACAGGGCTAATTCATCTCACCTCCTTACACTGATAAAGGGAAAAGGGAATCGCAAAGGTGGTAAATAGCCAGCAGTCCTGCCATCTGCACTGCTTTGGCAGTTTCCCCTGTTGTATTAACTTTCTTTTCCTGTTACACTGAACTTTGGAAAGGTCTTTATCTTCTGTGCATCAGTAGAACTGAACAACACCAATATCTGCCTTTCAGTGAAGTTTTTTTCAACCTCAGAGGAATGACAGTTTCATTGTACTGGTAGTGTAATGTTCTCTTTCTGCAGCTCTTTGCACCCCAGAATTGTTAGTTCTGCATTAGCAGAAATGCAGTTTTCAAAGTTATCTGGACAAAACCATGTGCCTTTTAAGAGCCCATCTTTGACTAAATTCCTTGAACCGCCTACTGTTGGTGTGGCTTATGTCTGATGCTTCAGAGGAAGTTGAAACTGTTTAATCACATAGAATTTCGATCCTTGCTGATGCCTGGCATGAGATATGTGACTGGGGGGTGTTTCTGTAGCAGTGGTATCAGTTTGGAGCAGGTGACAGTTTAGATTGAGATTACAAAAGTTCAGGCATCTCAGCTGTGACTTTTTTTCCTCTTTATGAATCCCAGTGACTGTCTGTGGAAAAGAAAACCTGTTCTTCAGAAAGTCAGTGAGTTGAATTTGCAGTGTCCTTTGCTTCCTTCCTAGGTTTGCTCTGCGTTTTATACGCCCTGATCCTCGTAGTCGGGTCACTGACCCAGTGGGTGACATTATTTCGTTTATTCATATGTTTGAGGAAAAATATGGGAGGATACACCCTGTCTTCTACCAGGGAACTTACAGCCAGGTCAGTGTCACGTGTTGGTGCATAGATCCTGGGGAGGTGGAAGAATGGGGATTTTGCCAGATGGTATCAGGGCCTTCATGGCAAAATTGCTTTTCATCTAAAGCCCAGCATTTGTCCCCAAACTCTCTTAATAGGGTAATGGAGAGATAGTGAACAAGTGTCTTGGAAAACCAGTGTCTGCCAGGCTTGATGATTTGCCAAGCCTGCCAAGTTGGAAAGCAAAGCTGCTCTGGCTGTTCCTCGACCGTCTGTGTGACTCTGTAGCCGACGGCTTTTCTTTGTAATCCTGCCTTTGTTTTTATAAACTGGTGTGCTGTGCCAGAGTCTGTCCTTCTGTTCACCAAATTGGGATTGACTGCCTGGGCTTGTATCATAATGCAGCTTCAGAACAATGCAGGGCCTCAAAATTGAGAGGGAGCCCTCAAGAAATTCTGGGAGATAAGTGTTCCATATATCAAATCTGGGGGTGCTCCCTGTAGAAGAGGGATGTCTCCATGGACACTGCCTCTTCCATGGCTTCTCTCAGCCTGGCCAAGGGAAGGGCCTTCTGCAGTGCGTCCCAGCAGACAGTTGGATCAGCACTGCTTCCCAAGTGCCAGGGAAGAATGTGGAGTTTGTGTCTGCTCCGTGCTGCACAGAGGTGGAGCTCATCGCCTGTGCAGCTCTTCCAAGCTCCTCCATCTTGCCTGGAATCCAAACTTAAATAACCCTGGAATGATTAGGCTACCAAAACTCAGTACCAGTAAAATGGGGAGCTTATTGTACACTTATCCTGTGGTCTTGTTGAGAAATGCTCTTGGGTGGGTGGAATCCAGAGACTGTAGATGCAAAAAGGGATGTATTTTTCCATAGGGTTTTTTGGGGGGCCTGCAACATTATTGCATTACCTTTTTAGTAGAGTTTTCATTTGGTGTGATATGAAACTTATGTCCTGTACAGGCTCAAGTGGAAAGCTCAGCCTTGGCTGCTGTGAGTCTGAGGGGTGAAGGAGGGTTCTTCACTGCCAGCTGAGTCTGGCAAGGCAGCTGGGATGTCCATCCCTTTGGTTGCCTACCTGGTTTCACTCTGAGTTCAGTGTTCTCCAAAGCCACATCCTGAGAGGATGTGAAAAAGCACCACTGTAGCCCTTTCAAACAAGAGTTTATTCAGAACATCTGACAGGTTCACCCTCCACTGCTGCTTTGTTAAAACCACACTAGTGGCAGAGTAATGGCTTGGGTCACACAAGCCTTGTGGGTGCTGCTTTCCCCTTGCCCAGTGACCCTGTAACCTCACTTCCTGTCCTCTTATGCCAAGGCACTGAACGATGCCAAGCGGGAGCTGCGCTTCCTGTTGGTTTATCTTCATGGAGATGACCACCAAGACACAGATGAGTTTTGCCGGTAGGTAGGAGAGTTTTCCAAATAGTTATCTTTGTACTTTAAGTGCAGCTTCACTCACACAGTCTCTTCTCATCCCCCAGCAATACACTGTGTGCACCTGAGGTCATCACCCTTATCAACACTAGAATGCTCTTCTGGGCTTGCTCAACCAATAAACCAGAGGGATACAGAGGTAAGTGTGTCCCTCGTGGGCTTTACATGTTTCCTCTTGTCTCTGGAACAAGCCGAGTGCCCTTTGACAAATTTACATGTGTGAAACACACTGTTGGATTCTGTGCAAGGAGGCAAGAGATTCTGGGATTGCATGGGGAAATACATATTGGTTTCTGTGGGATATCTCAGAGGGCCTGGTTGGCCACCAGGGCCAGCAAATACATTGTGATCTTCACCTCTGTTCCATGTGTTTCTGGCAGTCTTAGTTGTGTGCTCCTTGCTGTGGGCATTCAAGCTGCTTTCAGTGCCTTGTCAATGGGAGTTGATGGGTGTGTGCTGGGGATAAACTGAGTGCAGAAACAAATATCCAACTAGCTGTGTCCTTAGCACTGGCTCCTGTGATGCCTGAGGCCAGGACAAACTTGTTAGGTGTATTCTTTCTGAGACAGTCATCTTCATGTCCAGTCTCTGTGTCTCCTCCAAAGTCCACAGTGAGGTCCTTTCAGTCTTTCTAGAGCTGTTGGTGCCTGGCCTAACAGCATTTTGGTAAGGTTTTGCTGTAATTGGAGCCTTTTCCCAAAGTTCTCTTCTTGCCTCCTGTGTCCCTTCCACCCTTCCTGTTTCATGGCAGGGGGTCCAGGAGTTCTGGACTAAATCTGGGTCACTCTTGGCTCCACAGTTCAGCTCCCAGCTATTGGCACCTGGAGAGAATGGCTCTGTGTGCAGACAAGTCTTTGACTTGCTGCTGTTGCGTTGCTGCCGTGCTTTGGAGTCACAGTCTGGAAGGCAGAGCTGGAAGGGATTGTTGGGTGCCCTGATTTCCTTTGGAGGGCTCCATTGGTAATGATGGCTCAAGTTACATGTGCTTTAAGGAAGGGATCAGCAGCCATACATGAGCAATAACTTAAAGCCCTCAATCTGCTCCATTCCCTCTTTCAGACAGCCTGGCACCAACAAAACCAACCTAAGTTTGTTCAGAAATCTCCAGAATGGACATTGCCATCTTCCCCACAACAGTATCTTCCAAAGTCCAGCCATCCCTAATCACCTTAGCAAGTGTTTCCCTGTGTCTGACCTGTGTTTCTCGTCCTGCCATTTAAATCCAAGGCTTTGTCCCATTCTGAATGGACATTCAGAGCCATTTACTTCCTTCCTGCTTGAATAAAAGTGCCTTTTTGGTTACTTGAAAGCTTGTTTTTTCCCCTCAGCCCCTGTGTTCCAAGGCACTTCCTCCCTTTGCTAACTGATAGGGTTTAGTTTGACAAAACAGAGCCTGAGGCCTTTTCTGCCTTGGAGGAGAGTGTCTGTGGAAGCTGCTTTCCTTGGCCCGTGGTGATGGGAAGAGTTTGTGCTGTACCCCTTGCTGACCCTCCTGGAGAGGGCAGTGATGTTTGTGGCTGTTCCCAGTGTCCCAGGCCCTGCGGGAGAACACGTACCCATTCCTGGCCGTGATCATGCTGAAGGATCGCAGGATGACCGTGGTTGGGCGGCTGGAAGGTCTCATCCAGGCTGATGACCTCATCAACCAGCTGATGTTCATCATGGATGCCAACCAGACGTACCTGGTGTCTGAACGCCTGGAAAGGTAGGATGAGACCTGAGTTCCAATCATGCAGACCTTGTTGAGGCAGGCTCTGCCCTGTCCCCTTCCTCCTACCAGACACCATGTGTAGGCACATTGATCAGCGTCTCCTGATCTGTAACACGGCCCCTGGCTTTCCTCTTCCCAGTGGGATCATCAGTCCATAAATTCAGGCCATCCTATAGCCAGGGAGATGGATGTGTTGTGTACACAGTCCTGCCACTGAAAGGTGGGTGTGAGTGCTCTGTTCTCTGCAATTGGGGCACACCTTTGCTGTGCTGGAGCTTTGCAGGGAGAGCTTGGACAGTAGCCAGTAGGATCCAAATGGGAGCAAAGGCATTGCAGGCAGGAGAGCTGGTGTCTGCAGCTGGTTGGTGAGTGTGTGCTGCTGCCTGGACTGTCTGTAATGAGTTCAGGCTGCTTTTCTAGGGGCCTCACAAGCCCCTCATGACTCTTAGGGATGTGCAGACTGCATCCAAAGTAGGATCCCACCTTCCGTCTGCTCCTCCTTTGCCCCACGGTCTCCGTGGGAACCTGGTAACACGTTCTGGTTCCTGAAATGTGCAAGGAATTACCTGAAGGAGATAAAACTCGGGAGAGTCTCAAGTATGAGGCAGAAATCCTGGGCACTGCTTTTGTACTGTCTGTCAGCTCTGTTGAGCCACAGTGGCTGAGAAGCATTTTTGAGTTCAGTTCCACCCACTCTGGGGAAGCAGTTTGTGTGTGAGGGACCATGAGGACTCAACTCTGCCTTTTGGGAGCTCATGGTACTCCAAGTCATTACTTGCTGTGTGCTCCTACGAGTTTGAGGCTGTCCCTGCACCCTCGGGTCTACGCTCAGCCAACCAAGCCCTCACTTTAGGGCCCATTAGCCCTGACCCCTTCCCACTCACGTTTGCAGGGAAGAGAGGAACCAAACCCAAGTCCTGAGGCAGCAGCAGGACGAGGCATATCTGGCATCCTTACGTGCGGACCAGGAAAAGGAGCGCAAGAAGAAGGAGGAACGGGAGAGGAAGAAGAAGAAAGAGGAGGAAGTGCAGCAGCAAAAACTAGCAGAGGAGAGGCGGCGACAGGTGAGAGCAGAGGGGCTGCTGGAGAGGCTGCCATGCCCTGCAGGAGGAATTGCTTGTCACATCGGAGCTGCTGGCCTTGCGTGGGGCTCGAATGTCCCTCGAGCCTCCTGGAGCAGCTCTGCTGCAGGGGATGGGCATAAAGGTCAGTTCAGTGCACGGCCATTGCTCTGCTCCCTCCTTGCTTTGCAGACGCTGCAGGAGGAGAAGGAGCGGAAGTCGGAATGCCTTCCTCCCGAGCCGCATCCCGATGACCCGGAGAGCGTCAAGATCATTTTCAAGCTGCCTAACGATTCCAGAGTGGAGCGGCGATTCCACTTCACACAGTCACTGACGGTGAGCTTGGGGCAGAGCTGATGGGCATTCCAGAGGGAGGGGGTCTAGAGACTTCCATGTGGCTCAACAAAGCTTTGGTTCCCTTGCACTGTGACAAATGGTGACCTTTGCTGAGAGCCTTAGCAGGCACAGCTGCTCCTGGGTAAGGAGGAGTGTCATGGGGCCTAGTCCCACCAGCCTGGGAGAGATGAAAAAATGGAAGAAATTTTTTTCCTTCTCCCTAAAAGCTGAGACTTCTAGTGGAAGGTGTCCCTGTTTATGGTGGTGAGGTAGGACTAGATGATCTTGAAGGTCCCTTCCAACACATAACATTCTATTATTCCATTGCTCCTTATTAAATAATGGTGTAGGAAAAGTCAGAAACAGTATCTGCACTCCAGTTTCAAATGTGCCAAGGAAATGGCTGTCTCACGTCTACAATGCAGTGATGGTGCAAATTTGGTAACATTCCCCTGCGAGATGCCAGGGATTCCGTGTGGCTGTGTCACTGCTCCACTAGCTGGCAATTATTTCTGTGCTTCTTTCCCAGGTGATCCACGACTTCCTGTTCTCCTTGAAAGAAAGCCCTGAGAAGTTCCAGATTGAGGCCAACTTCCCTCGCCGTGTCCTGCCCTGCCTCCCTACAGAGGAGTGGCCCAACCCCCCCACGCTGCAGGAGGCCGGACTCAGCCACACGGAAGTCCTCTTTGTGCAGGACCTTACGGACGATTGACACTTCTTTTGGTTTTGATTTTTTTGGGTTTTGTTTTGGTTTTGGGGGGTTTTGTTTTTGTTTTTTTTTTTTTCCAGAAGACACAAAATGGAAAGAGAAATTCATATTATTATTATAATACAATATTTTTTTTAAAAGACTGCGTACAAACGAGGGATCAGAGACCACATGGCCCGTGCCAGCTGTGCTGCGTGTGTGCGCTGGCGAGAGGACGCGTGCGCACGGCCATCCCCTGCACCGGGGGGCAGAGAGGGGGAAGCTGGTGTTGCCCCTCCACCTTCCCTGGGGAGGAACAGGAATGGCAGCTCTTGGTAATTACTGCTTTTATTGATGACAATAATAATAAAACCCCGACAACCTGACATCGCGTGAAGATTTGATACTCTGCTGCTCCTGAGAGACACACGACCGAGCACCGGAATGTGCTGGGAGTGGGGTGGGGGAAAGGGCTGGACAGAATCTCTTCAGCTTCCCTCTCTGTATAAATACTGTTCTTTAATATTTCTCTTGCTTTGTAATGACCAAAGGAGAATGGGGTTGACTATAGTATTAACTTTTTGATAAAGAGCTGGTTCGATTCTTACCCGTGTGGGGTCTTGCCCAGGGTTCTTAGCCTGCGTAGTGTAATAAACTCTGCCTCTAGCACGTCTGTGCCCATGCTTTCTGCCTGTGCCCTGGGGAGGGGGGTGAGCTGCTCTGGGCATTGTGGCTCATGGAACTGTGGGTGCACTCAGCTTCTGGCCTTGAACTGGTGGTTTTGTGCCAGTGGGAGGTGCTGTGTGAGACAAGTGTGCCCAGTGTGGGGCATGGCAGGGCTGAGGTGCTCCTCTCCTGCCTCCTGGGGCATCGGTTCAGGGCTGAGGCTGGGAGGGAGGGAGAGAGCTGGCCCTGAGTTTTAAGGCCTGGGTCTACTCTCCAGGAGCAAGTGGGAGGGGATGAAAGATCTGAGGGTGGGTGTAGGGCTCTGTTCCCTGCCAGAGGCTTGGTCATGGCTGTGGAGCAGTGCCATCAGCTCCTGCCCACAGGGGGAGTGGTAGGAATTTGTTCCTTCCCTACCCACCTGTTCTGGACAGGTAGCCAAGCTCACTTAGAATCACAGAATGGTTTGAGTTGGATCTCAAAGATCATCCTGTTCCAACCCTCTGCCCTGGGCAGGGACACCTTCCAGTAGACCAGGTTGTTCCAAGCCCTGTCCAACTTGGCCTTGAACACTTTGAGGGATGGGGCAGCCACAACTCTCACCCTCACAGGGAAGAATTTTTTCCTTCTATCTAAACCTACTCTTTCTCAGTTTGACCCCATTCCACATTGTCCTATCACTACCACTCCTGATGAAGAGTCACTCTCTGGTTTCCTTGTAGATAATGGAAGGGGCTGTGAGTTCTCCACACAACCTTCTCCAGGCTGAACCACCATAACTTTCTCAGGCTGTCTCCGCAGGGGAGGTGCTTGTCCCCTTATCTACTCCATGCTCCCAAGGGCTCTGTGTCCTTATGTAGATGACCACAGAGCTGGATGCAGCACTGCAGGTCAGGTCTCACCAGAGTGGAGCAGAGGGGCAGAATCCCCTCCCTTGCCCTGCTGCCCACACTGCTCTGGGTGCAGCCCAGCACACAGTTGGCTTTCTGGGCTGCCAGCACACACTGCTGTTCCCATTCCAGCCTTGGGAATGGCATGGTTTGGTGGGTAGTAGCTCTTGCTCCCTCCCTCAGGCTTCCCTGGACTCCCCTCCAAGCCCCTCTCTGGGGCTCTTCCAGCTGCTGCACCTCCACACAGCTGTGCAGCAACAACCAGGGGACCCCATCCCTTCTGAAGCCCCCCCCGGAGACAAGAGCTGGGCACAGCACGTTGGTATACATCATACATTTATTAGTGAATATCCCTCTCAAAATCAGCCACAACATTAAAAAAAATAATGATTGCACTACTTGGTCAAGCAGAACTAGCAACTTTCATTTTAAAAAAAGTACAAATCTGTTAAAAATTTCAATCAGTATAATACACATATATATAATACAACATACTAGTTATGTTAAATGCTACAAAACCAATATGATTCCAATGGAATGGAAAAAAACAAACACTTTTAGAGCTTTAAGAACCTTTTTTTTCTATATATTAGCCTTTTTTCAAATACATACATGGGAAAAATGAGGTAACTGTAAAATGTGCAAGTAACAGAGCAAAAAAAATTATATATATATATTTATATATATATATATATATATAAAAACTTTCTAACACAGAACACACGTCCTAGCACCTTCCGGGGAGCCGCGGGGGCCGCGGGGGTCCCACCGGAGGGCCCGGGGACTGGTATAATAGAACAGTAAACAGTCCACTATCCCACCACAGGAATTCATTGGTAAACAGTGGTATCTACAGCGCAGTCAGCAATCACAAACACCCTAAATAATTGTTTTTTAGTATTTTTTTTGTCATTTTTTCTTTTTGTTATTTTTTTTTAAATGATACTTTTAGCTGCTCATTGGAATAAATTCTGCAGCACACGAGCTGTGAGCTTTCGAGTCGCCGTCAAAGGACCGTAAGGCTTTCCTGGCTCCCTGGGCACCGCGAGGGCGGGAGGGGAGGAGGGGGGCGTCTCCGGGGGCGCGCACGGGGACTCCTTTGGTTATCTGTCACTGAGTGAGGGACGGGGAGGGGGCCGGGGTCCTGCTCAAGGGGCACCGAGCCCAGCGGTGCCCGGCGGAGCTGGTGGCGCCAGGCCGGGACCCTCGGCCTCGACGCTCCCCCTGGAGCGTGGCCGCCGGAGAGGTGGGAAAGGGCAGCGAGGGGACTGGCCTGTCGCCCCGCGCCGCTCGCCGGCACCGTGCCCAACCAGGCAGTGACCAGGGCCGGCCCCACCGGTGGCTGGCACTGCCCTGCAGGCATCGTCGTGCCCACCCGTGTGCCGGGCGCGGCCCCTCGCCTCGCACCCGGCCGAGGGCCAGCCCCAGGCCTGCCCCCCGCCCCGCGGGGAGCGGCCCCCTCCCACCCCGGCCCCCTGCACACGCCACCACCGCGGGCGCCCCCCACCCCCGCCGCCGCCTCCCGCCCGGAGGGGCGCGGACCCCGCAGGGACGGCCCTGAAAGTCTCACGGTCCTGCTGTGGCGTTGCGGACATGTGCAGTACAGTGCATGGCAGTATCAGCTGAGCACAAAAACCCCTCTCCCCACCCCCCTCACCCCACAGCCGGCTAGACGTAGCCAAGACCACGTTCCAAGCTGGTCAGACATGCATGCATATTTGTGAACATTTACATAGGGCTGGCGTCCGCTCGGAGGCTCCCAGGCGTCAGCGACGCGCCGCAAGGGGAGGGCGGTGCTCTCACCACCACCCCAGCCACCGCCTCCCGTCACCCTCCTCGCTAATTAATCATGCAAAACAACGGCCACGCGGGATTGACGGAGCCGGGTGGCAGTGTGGCAACTTCTCCTCCAGCCCCGTCGCCCAGCCCCGCACGGGCAGGGGGATACGGCAGCGGGGGGCTGCTCACAGCTCCCCCAGTGCCAGCCGGGGCAGGGCCAGGGTAGCACTGAAAATACACCACGAGGTTATGAATAAAACTCCCTGCTCCGGGGGCTGGGGGGGCACCCGCCGCAGTCCAGTCGGCCCCTGCTGCCCACCGGCCGGGGACACCGCGCCACGCCGTCCAGCCAGCAGGACGGGGCACGGGGCTACCTTGATTTACATTGTCGGGACAGAGAAACAAGAGCAGGAGCCAGGGGCCAGGCAGCATACCGGGGACACCACATGCCCATGGCCATGGGGATGTGGGGGTGGCATCCCTCTTCAGGCCTGGCTGCCTCATGGGATGCCACATGACTCAGCCCCGGGAGCTGCCAGGCACAGGGGAATGAATAGGGAGAGGGGCCAGGGCCATGACAGCACCGTCCTCCCACTGGTGAAAGACCCCAAGCAGCCATAACCCTCTGGGGCTCCCTAGGGCACCTGAGGCAGGAAAGGGGCTGAGCCGGGCTGCATGTGAGAGCAGGGACAGAGGCGTTCCTGCCTTCCTGCCCCAGCCATGCCGCAGGGTTGCTGGTGTCCCACCTTGGCCACACCTCCTCTGGACGTCCCGGGGCCATCCCGGCGCTCCAGCTTGGCTCGGGGTGCCGCCGGCATCAAACCTGCGGCACTCCTTCCTCTCTCCTCCCTGTGTCCTCCTCGAGCAACGCCGAGGGGAGGAGCTGCCTGCGCGCCCCTGGGGCAAACGGCCACGGAACCAAAATCGTGACGGAAATGGAAACAGGAAAAAAAAAAACTATCATAAAAAAAAAATAGTGACAAAGGGAAAAAACCACTAATTCCCTAGCGGAGTACAAAGACCTGGAAAAGTGATGGAGCAACAACAGCGTCTTTGGAGCACGAAGGGCACGGCCACGCGCCTCCCACCTCCAGCACAACACGATTCGGGGCCCTGGGAGCGCAGCGGGCAGGTGTCCGGCCGAGTCCGTGCCCCGGCGGGGAGGAGGAGGGCTGGCCGGGAGCCCGGACTGCTCAATGCTCACCACATCCAAGGAGAGGCTTTGGGGAGGGGGGTAAGCGCAGGGTCAGGCCCCAGCAGTGGGCAGCGGCCCTCGCCCCAGCCCGGCGACCTCGTCCTCTAGCGAATTGTGCGGCACAGCGCCCGCCAGCTTCAGTCCGCCTCCCGCTGCACCTCCGACGCGTCCGCCCGGCAGATCGGGCACGTGCGGTTCGCCTGCAGGCAACCAGAGACAAGGGCAAGTGAGCGGGCACCCCACAGCACCAGTTGCACCCACACCCCACTGGCAAGGGCTGGAACCACATCCTGGGAATGCCTGATCCAGCCTGGCACAGTGCTTGACCCCAACTCCCAGTGCATCCATCCTGTGCTGCAAGGCACTAAGACCACCCAAAAGGCAGCACTCAGCACCCGCAGCACTCCAAGAAGCCACCACACTCCCCATAGAGGGCACAGGCAGTACCTTTAACCATTTGTCGACACACTTGGCGTGGAACTCGTGGTTGCAGGGCAGGACGCGGAGAAGCTGTCGGGCCTCAAAGTCGCTGAAGCACACGACGCACCTGGAGGAAGCAGCCGTCAGTAGAGCCCCACCTCCAGCCACGGCCCCACCACCAGCCACGGCCCCCAGCACCTCAACAGGCCCCCCATGTGCAACCTGGGCTCACTCACAGGGTCTGCTCGGACTGGTGGCTCTCGGGGTTGAAGCGGTAGGACGGGAGGTGCTCGATGTCTGCTTTGGTGAGTCCCCGTGGCTTGGCCTCCCCCAGCCGCTCAGCCAAGTTCAGCAGTGCCTGGAAGGAGATGCAGCGGCCGGCTTAGCTCATCTGATGTCCCAGCACAGCACCCCTCCAGGCTCTCCCCTCCCAGCAGAGGGATCACCACCCCCCCCCACCTCCCCCATCCCATCATCCTGTGGGGAAGCTGAGCCTACACACCTCATAATTCTCCATCTCCACATCATCCACATCCAGGTCTAGGCTGATCGTGGGCCCCACGGCTGTCGGCGACACAGGAAGCATAGAGCTGGGGGGGAACGATGGGACAGTCAGTGTGGGGCCACAAAACCCAACCTCTGCCCTGGCATCCCCATGGGGGCAGAGCCACCTGTGCCAACACTGTGTTACTGTGTGCCCTATCCACAACACCACCCCTGCC